AGACAAGATGTAGAAAAACGGGCAAGATATCCCGCCCCCACATCCACACGCACGCACGCACGCACGCACGCACGCACACACGCACGCACGCACGCACACACACACACACACACACACACTTCTCTTATATTGTCTCCATAAAAAATCTTGTTTAGCGCTAGTTTTTCTGATAAAGATTTACTTATATATATGTAAATTCGTTATAAAACCCTAGAAATGGGCAAAGAGGGGTCCGCAGGCGTCCGGGGGACCGGATCTGATAAATTTGTGCATTCTAGACATCAAAATTACTGCTCAGATGCTCTCAGAATGCACCAATTTAAAAAAAAAATCTTGGGGGAGGTCCCACAAACCTCCCCTAAGTGGCATTCGGCAGCTTTATAAAACGCCTGAAAAAGTAAGCAGGAAAAAGTGCCCTTTATTTCTTCCTGGACACCCCCTTTTCAAAAATCCTGGATCCGCCCCTGAACCCTAACCCTAAATGACATTAAACCACAAACTAATATATGACCATGACCATATATATATATATTATTATGACCATTAATGACATTACAGTTGGGAACACTCCTAATGGAGTATTACCCCGAAAACACCTGGACAAGATATCCAGTCACGTAGCCTGTGAGCACATAAGAAGAATAAACCAGTATAGAAGTAGAAGTAGAAGTAAGGAATTCAGTGAGTCATGTCGCCGCTCTGTAAATATTTTGTTTTATACCTAGTGAATTTAAAATTCTCCCGAGTAGAACTGGTCAAACACGTTTCATGAATCATGGCACGAATTATGCGTGAAGGAATTCATGAATGTCCTCATTAGCATTTACAATTTGGCATGATCTGTCATCTATTGATTATATCTGTCCTTTGTTGCTTTTTGTGTAAGAAAACGATGAGAATAAAGTCTAGCAGTAACAGATGCTCTGTTTGTGGAAAATTAGACAGATATTACTATTAAAATCAGGTCAAACGTAAAATCATGTTCCCATGTGCTGTGAATGTGAGTGTGATTCTGTGAATCCAGGACGTGCCAGTTTTCAATGTAATACTAATACTAATAGTACACTCAGTCTATAGAGCTGTGTTACGCCTGTCACGGTTAATGGTCACGCAAATCGCTAGTAAGAAATTTTGTTTGGGCCGATCGTTCGAACCAAAAATTGCAAAATACACCATTTTTCATTTGTTTTGATTACCAACAAAATATCTCTAGACTGTCAAAATTGTAACTATTCATGTCACAGATACACAATTGTCTGGCTTAGTTTTTACCTGCCAACGGTTTGATCTGCAAGCTGTTTCACCCGAAAAAGGTGCTTCTTCATCTTGTCATAGCTCTGCATTTTATCTTCTTGGTTTATACTAAAGGAATATTTGGCATCCTACGAGATAATATCCCTAAAATGATAGGAAAGGAAAACACTACCACTCCTCGTAGATGGTCATTTGTTTGACATCTGCGTCTTCAGTCTGTGCCACCACAACAAACTTACTAAACCCATTAATGTTTTAAAATTTTGTTGAAATGCAACAAAATATTGAAAATTGTGAAAAGAATGCGATAAAAATAGATAGTATACTCAGTAGATTTATTTCCAAGTTTATAGTTACAAATACAACACGAATCCTCTGCCTAGTCTGTAAATAATATTGCTTTATAGACTGATACGATAGCTTGTCTCCTGTATTAAGTTACAGTAAGAGCACCTACAGCGACGTTTTTCGTCAGTCTAATAGCTACATAAACAAGTGGACATCTTATATCGCAAACGTTTAGTTGTCATTTTAAATTTACTGAAACGTGGAAATGATATTTGTAGTAAGTTATTGCTAATAAAACAAGACTGACATATTTTAAAGATATTAAGAAATTATAGCTATTACTGAAAAAAACGAAAACACGCAGGTATCGTTTTAAATATGCGCATGAACTTATTGAAGTGGCGGGACGGTGAGTAAAACAAAAACTACCTAGTCCTAGAGCCCGTAGACGATCACGATTGCCAAAATGAATTGTACGCAGTGGCTGGAGGTACGTCAGCCGTATCTTAATGTCTCGAGGCTACGGGCACGGCAGTCCATTTGCGCATGCGTCGCTTTTCCACAAAATAATGCCGTTGGAAATTAATTCACGATTTAATTCACGATTAGATTTCTTGATGAGCTAGAAAACACGGCCCAAGCCAAGGATAGAGAACATGGGTCCCAATAAAACCAATGTGCCTAACCCTAACCCTAATTCTAACCCTGGCCCTAACGGCCCAAGGATAGAGAACATGGGTCCCAATAAAACCAATGTGCCTAACCCTAACCCTAACCCTAATTCTAACCCTAACCCTAATCCTAATCCTAACCCTAACCCTAACCATAACCCTAACCTATTATATTGAAATTATATTGATGTAAATGACATTGGTTTTATTGGGACCCATGTTCTCTATCCTTGAACCGAAAACACTCGGATTTGAAGTATGAAAATGAACATTATTGAGCCAGCTAGCCTACACCAGTTGGTTGGGATTGATTGTTAGTTCAGATGCAAAATATTGAAAGCAAAAGGTTATACACCATAGATTAATTTGGGTACTATGACACGCGTATAAAAGATAGCCGAGTCGGTTTAGAGTTAGGGTTGGGTTAGGGTTAGGGTTAGGGTAGCTCTAGACCGAATAATTCTGTCCCATATAACCTTTTTTATATTTTGGTGAGGGTTATATTGGGACAGAACGGGGTTCATTGAAATTTCGTGAGATCGCATGCAAAATGCATGCGCTGAGAATGCGGCTTGTACGCCGCTATTGGCGCGAAAAAAAACCTACCGTTCCCTTCTACATGGCTTTACCTTGCTACTGATATGTGTATACATTCACTTCAATCGTTATTCACTTCTTAAAAGATTGTTTTTCATAAACACCGCTTCGTTCAACTTTCCTAAATTACATCGCCATTTACAAACAATCAGACCAATCACAGCGAGTCTATCAGGCCTCCTGCAGCGCCACATATACAAGCGAGAACCAGGGGCTATTGTAAGACTCGCTCTGATTGGTCTGATTGTTTGTAAATGGCGATGTAATTTAGGAAAGTTGAACGAAGCGGTGTTTATGAAAAACAATCTTTTAAGAAGTGAATATCGATTGAAGTGAATGTATACACATATCAGTAGCAAGGTAAAGCCATGTAGAAGGGAACGGTAGGTTTTTTTCCGCGCCAATAGCGGCGTACAAGCCGCATTCTCAGCGCATGCATTTTGCATGCGATCTCACGAAATTTCAATGAACCCCGTTCTGTCCCAATATAACCCTCACCAAGATATAAAAAAGGTTATATGGGACAGAATTATTCGGTCTAGGGTAGCTCTAGTAACTATAGCCCGCGTACAGTTGCCGCTGGGCTATAGGACCAGCCATTACGAATGCTCGGGACTAACTTACTCCAGCCAATCAGCGGGAACTATGTATTTCCGCACGTGGAGGGGTGGGCGGGTTGTGTTGGTTGTGGACAAAAACGTTGTTGTCAAGTAACAAATTAATAATAGTAATTTGTTCATCTTTCATGACAAAACTAATATTACAATCTTTTTTGATCGCTTAATTTGTTACTTGACAACAACAATGTTTTTGTCCACAACCAACCCAACCCGACCAACCCTCCACGTGCGGAAATACATAGTTCCCGCTCACTGGCGCTGCTGGCCTGCTGACGCGCCGCCAAAAATGGCCGTTTGAAGTTTGCAAATCGAATGTTCGTTCACCAGAAATACCGCAAGTAGACCATTTCAACGATAGTTAGAGGTTAAATTTTAGTAGCTGATATAACTTAAGACATATTCAGTTCGGATAAGGGGCATTAATTGCCTACCACAGACGTTTTATAGCTGCGTATAAGCGTGCTTAAGTTGGTCTCGCTCATCCCTAATGGCTGGTTCTATAGCTCAGCGGCAACTGTACGCGGGCTATAGTTACTAGAGCTAGGGTTAGGGAGGGTTGGGTTAGGTTAGGGTTAGGGATAGGGTGACTGTTTGTACTTGTGTGTGGGACTGCCGTACCCGTAGCCTCGAGACATTAAGATACGGCTGCAGCGCTTGCGTAGTGTGACTGCCGTACCCGTAGCCTTGAGACATTAAGATACGGCTGCCGTACCCGTAGCCTCTGCGATTAAATTATAATAATAAAGGTTTGTTGAGTCTGTAAGCATAAATTGCAAGTCATATAATGTTTTGGAGTTGCTTTAATCTCGACTTAGTGATTGTAAGTTATCACCTGCATACTATTACAATTTTAGTCGGTGCAAACCGTTACTACTAGTAGTAGTACTAGTACTACTAGTAGTAGTAATCGGTTGCCGCCCTCCTCTCACTCAGCTGTCCCTTTCATTTCGTGTCGTTTGTTCTTTCTTACCCGATTAATACGTTGTAGGTCACAGTAGGTGTAATTGAATTGAATGATATTACTTGTGTTTATTTTTGGCTGCAGGACGTTATGCGCCAATAAAACTATTAGTATTAAAAGCTAGTTCCTACTACTGCTATATTATAGTATAATAATTAATATTGTGATACTGTCGGAGTGTCTCCATTTGACTTGATTTATAATTCGCTATCGCTATGGTAGAGCTGGGCATATTTACACTTGCATTGCAAAAACAGGAAATACTTAGTCATGTTACTTAGCAAGTGGTGTTACATGCTCATGTTACTTAATTTTACATTACAGAGATCATGCAATAAAGGTCATAGACGACAGTAGTACGGGTAACTCATTATCTGAGATGGCATCTGTAAAGAGCCCAACAGCTCTTTCACCGATGCAGCCAATCAAGGTATATACATTGTTTGGGTCAAGGATAGTTTGGGATCCCCGCAATATGTTTTCGCATATGTGCTACACTAAGGCCAAAACAAAATATAGGTGTGGCTACCGTTTCCCGACCGACCCTATTTATTCCCAGCGACCCTAAACATTTTATTGTCAATTTTCTTTAAAGTAAAAAAAAAATTAAAAATTAAAAAAAAAAAAAATTAAAAAAATATGAATTGGACAGTTCCTGCTTCAAAAGGCACAACGCACATCCTTCGGACATGGTTCGTAAATAAAATGTTTCAATAAAATAAAATGTTTTCCCTACCTACCTACCCTATTTTTTTTCGGCATGAAACGGTAACCACACCTATATTTTGTTTTGGCCTAATCTGGGGTGCTACACTAGGCTTGGACCCATTGTTTTATACGCCACACAATCAAAAGCAAAAAAAGTAGTCAAAAAGGTGTTAGTGGTAAACTCTGTATAACGTGCACTTATCAATAGTGCCTTTTGGCATTTTTTGGATTGACCCATATATACAGATTTGAATGCATGGATTACCAGATCGATATGAATTGTGTAGCAGCAAGTTTACCACGTTTCAAGTCACCTACTTGTGTGAATACATGAAGCATCATGGATGCTTTCTAATTACTATTAATAGGTGGATATAGATGAAGCCTTTGGAGCCAGAAGTGAGCAGTCTTCTGTTCCCGTGAGTCCTAGGAGGGGCAAGGCACACATCCCTATCCGAGCAAGCATCAGCCCAAAGAGGCTGAAGGTGTGCAATGGCAAGGGTGATCCACATTTCGGCCTGCCCGGCGAGACGCTAGCAAAGAAGAGTCAGATTGTCGGGTGTCGGGTCGACTCGTCGAACGTTGCCACGGGTCTTCATAGGGGCAGGTCTGTCGACGATACTTCCTCCGTTGACCAGTATAGGGGCAAACTCTGCAACTGCACGACAGAGCAACATCATTGCACATACGCGGGTTGCGAGCCGTGTGCCAGTCCGAGATGCAATCAACTAGAGGTGCCTTCTAACGACACGCCGAAAAAGTGTCGTCCAGGAACGTTAGATAGTGCGCAAGCAGCTCAAACGCCGGTGCCTCCATCTGTAGCCTGTTCCAGCCCTAGGAAGAAAAAGTTTCACGAAGGCCAGGAGTGTTTGTCTCGATGGAATGATGGTCTGCTGTATCTGGCTACAGTCGTCAAGGTTTGAGTGTGCTTAATTAATTTGAATAACTTTTTGTGCGATAGCCTTTGCAACGTTGGTGTGTCGTTCGTTTGGATAACGACTGTAAATGTAATGTATGTTAACGTACCTAAAAGAGAGTTTGTGTCATCTATTAGTTAGTGCTTGCAATCAATTACTTATGCAGGGCTTGAAACTAACCTAAAATGTTCACTAGCCAGCAGGGCTAGTGACCTGTAAAATCTACTAGCCCTTAAAAATATCTCCCAGCCCTTACTTTTCTGAAGTGCTGTGCTAAAGCTACGCAGTGAGCACAATTTTGCCATTTGCGGGGTGGGGTGGGTGAGGTGGGTGGATCAGGGTTTTGATTTTAGATGCTCCGAGATGCTGCCCCCATCCTGTTTGTGTTAGTTTGAGATTTGTAGAGTTGTATTGCTTAGTTGACTGAATATAAGCCACATAGAAGCGTGTTATGCTAGTGTTAGGATGAACATCGTATTATAAAAGGCTTAGAATACCAGTTACAGGAATGTAGGTTTAAAGAGGTTATTTTCATAACAGTACCTGCCAAAACCATGACTACTATTCCACGTTAATTATAGACACAGAGACTGGATTGTATATTAACCAGTCCGTATAAGTAAAGTTGAGTTTCTAATTTGATATTTAGCAAACGTCAAATTGAAATAATCTTTGTTTGAAAAGGGGAGTGTTTAACCCTGAGGTCAGCTGAAACGTAAACTAAAGTTAACAAACCGTTCCCTGAACGTATACAGAAAGTAGAACAGAAACGTATTGCGTATACACTGTGAGGGGATTGGCATGAGCTTGTGAACAGAGCAGCATGATGGTTGAACCGATTTTATTGTCTGAGGTACCGTGACTGTTAAGTTTAGGTTTTGCAATTTGATTATGTTTGCACACGCAAATTTTATATTACTTATTACTAGTTCGGTCGGGTTAGTAGTTGCTGAAAAAGTACTAGTAATATGTTATCTGGTAGGCATTCCCACTCGCCAACAGGCCTGGTCAGCCCAGACATTCTACTAGCCCTTACTGATTTCTACTAGCAAGCGGGCGAGCGTTAGTTTCAAGCCCTGTTATGCCTTTGAATTTTTTGTTTCACAGCTGGATAATGCTGGTGAAAGATGTTTGGTAGCATTTGAAGACAACTCTGAACACTGGGTCTTATTTAAAGACCTGCAAAGCAGTGAGTAATGATTGTTATAAATAGCAAGACATTTGATATGATGAGACCGTTGTTTCTTATTTCATGTAATCAGTTCATTAAATTTCATGGTAATATAAAAGTAAATTTATTTGATGACAAATCCATGTCTTTAACATGTTAAATATATGGATTCATAATGAAATTAATTTACTCTTACAAATTTTAAGATTGGTATCTTTCCTAGTAGTCGACATGTCTTGCAGTATAATTTATATATTCACAGTGTACAGTAGTTAACATTCGTGTTAGATGTACCATCATGCATTCGTGTAGGTCCTGATGTGATTGGCGGTATTTTGGCAGTAATTTAAACGTTACTACGCCCATAGGTGAAGAGGAGCCTCGCTCAGAGGTAGTCTGCTCCGTCTGCGAGTGTGCTGAGTGTGAAAAGCCCAATGAGATCGTCATATGTGATAACTGCAGCTTGGGTAGGTAGCACCACAACAATCTGGGCAATCCGAGTAGTTGGGGCATGAGCGTTGAGTGGGAACATGTACCGATTGTTCAATCTTAGCATAGGACATTAGGGAATTCCTGCGTTCATCACCTCATCTGAGACCTAAAGACATATTTTTCAGCATTTCAGACATTCTATTGCATACAAGTTTTTGGTATGCATCACTAACATTGTGTTGTATGTTAAGTGCAGTGATTTAGTTCTTGTAATTGTTGTTACATTCTTGTAGGCTATCATCAGCAGTGCCACAGCCCGCCTATTGAGGCCAACACAATGACTGGTGGAGTGCAGTGGAGCTGCCGTCAGTGTGTCTTCGCCAAGACTACAAAGGTGCGATCTTATTAAAGGAATAATATGTTCATTGATTATGCAATGTTGATGAATGCTAGAGTAACTGGCACCTTGTACATTACCTTATAGCCAAGCGCGTATTAGTTTGTCCAATATCACTGCTGGTTACATTACAAACAAGACTTGAAATCGGTTGTTGATATGTATCAACGTATCATTTACGTGCCGTAAATGTCATCCAGGAGTCAAGCGATGACGTAAACATTTGTGCGGCCCGTTTGTTTTGGACGCCAGATGAAACGGAGGTGTCAGCGGTGTAACCACGGCCACGGACTAAACATGGAAATAGAGTATAACACACGTACTAATCACGGGCGCACGTGGACAGCCCTGACAAAAAGTTCCTTATCACGAGCGTCCATGTTTACGAAATCACTGATGATAGCATTATGTACGGCCAAGCATGCGTGCGAAAATGTCCGGTGCACTATAAATCTGTATCACACCCGCTTCGCCAGCAGCAGTTTGAAACTGTAGGCAACTGATTTTTGGACTGCGGATTTCAGTTAGACATTTCTTAGTAACCAGCAGTGATATTGGACAAACTAATACGCGTTTGGCTATAAGGTAATGCACTTATTAACTACACAAGGTGCCAGTTACTCTAGCATTCGTTAACATTGCATAATCAATGGACCTATTATTCCTTTATTCGTAGTCAAGTCCTGAAGCAAGATTAGTGTAAGTCATTTGTATAAATGTGGTTCTGTGCAGGATTTGTGTGCCATATGTCTGTATGTGAAGCTGTCTCTGTGTCAATCAACATTTGTTTGTTAATAATAAAGTGTGCATATTTCCAGAGAGGTGGAGCCACCAAACTGGGTCCAAATGCAAAGGCCTTGCAAGCATATAAAAAGGCACTACCGTACAAGGTATTTCATGTTGCACTACTTTGTACCTTTTGTAGTAGAATTTGATTGACAAATGGTATATCAGTAATGTTTTGGTTTCACAATGTATTTTTCTTGTGTCATCTTATTGCTTGCGAATTTCGACAAATTACATTTTTGATTTCAGCTGAGCTCACTCACGTGGGATGCTCATCACAAAACCAATTCACAGCAATGCTACTGCTATTGCGGTGGACCAGGCGAGTAAGTATTGAATATCACTTGATTTAATATGTCTCATGAATGCGGCAGTTTGTGTGTTCTACTATATATGATGAATATGTAAGAATTGAATGTATACCTTTGTATTTGAATTGTACATTGTTACAAATGTTATTACTACAAAAGTTATTAAATTGTCTTTATTGTTAACTGGGCCGATTTCCTTTACATTTATTGCAGTTGGTATATAAAAATGGTGCAATGCTGCCGGTGCAAACAGTGGTTTCATGAAGGTATGTTTACATGCTTATCTCTATCCCAGTGGAGTGATGCAGTGTACACATTTCATCCCATAATGTATATCTTCCGTGCTGTCGTCATATTAACCTCGCCCAATTGCTTTTAGTCACCGAAGTAGGTCAGAGGTGTAGACAAGTGCTGCACTGTGCAGTCAGGGGGTTGTTTGTGTTGTAGTGTGCGAGTATTATCTTATGTACCTGCTTAGGCCAAAACAAAATATAGGTGTGGTTACGGTTTCCCGACCGACCCTATTTATTCCCAGTAAAAAAAAATAAAAAAAATGAATTGGACAGTTCCTGCTTTAAAAGGCACAACGCACATCCTTCGGACATGGTTCGTAAATACAATATTTCAAGAAAATAAAATGTTTTCCCTACCTACCTACCCTATTTTTTTCGGCATGTAACGGGAACCACACATATATTTTGTTTTGGCCTTAGGCTGGTTGTTTGCTGATTTATTGTTTCATTTTTTTTGTGGTATAGCATGCGTGCAATGTCTAAAATATCCTCTGATGCTGGGAGACCGTTTCTACCTGTTTGTATGCTCTGTGTGCAATCAAGGACCAGAGTACATCAAACGACTAGATCTCAACTGGTGTGTTAATACATCATCATTATTTTTACAAGTAGTACTTATTGTTGACATGGGAATGTTTAGTGTGAAGAATAATAACACTGACAAATTGCAATTGAGTTAAAGCAGCATATGATGCATCTAGCTGCACATGTGTCCTGTTGTCTGAACCAATACATTTTTGCATACAGAAACTTCAAGTTTAATTAGAAATAAAGTACTTCACAATAATTCATCGGATGTGGAACTCTCCCACTAGTCTCAAGGAACTGACCGAAGTTTAAACTTGTGCCATTCATGTTGCCTTAGGTCTGACGTCACACAGCTTTGTCTGTTTAATCTGACGCTGCAGCCTGTCAGCAACAGCAAATATCATGACATTGAGGAATCCATCATGCCTTGGATATCCAGAAACTGGGTGAATCTCCAGCTTGGACAGGTGCTTCGTCTTTTTATTCATTCTCTTTCTCTACCTTTACCAGGATAGCATCGTGAACCCTTCCCCCTCTTCCATCTCCATGCGTTGCTTAGTGACTTAATTCTTCTTCTGTGACATGTAATACTAAGCGATGACATTATTACTGTCAAGCATACAATATCTTGACTATTAAATCAAATACTGTTTCAAGTATTTTAAGTTATTAGTAGTTGTAGCGGGTCATTATAGTTTCCGTGGAATGCCTACTCTTGTTTATGTTTGGGGCATAGGGGCATGGTCGTAATCACCAGTTAACTTTGGATCTACTCTGTTCATGATTAGGGAACATGCAGGGGTAGAAATTAACTTTTGAACAAGGAAGTCCAACGGACTCCCTGCCCTTCAAAAAGAGGGAGTCCGCAGCAAAATGAGGGAGTCCTTAGTCTGAAGTTCAAAATTTTCAGGGAGTCACACGGACTCCTGCATATGTCAGTAGTATATATATATATACATATAGTCCGACAGTAAATCAGGGAGTATTTGACTTCGGACTTGCGTTAATTTCGCACCCTGAACATGGGTGTAGTCACATCTGGTTCCCACAGATCTACCCTGGTCATAATTAGCGCACATGGGCGTTGACGCTAGACGCTCGTTACCGTGAATTACCCTCTCGCGCCCACAGATCGCATCCACGCCGGCCGAGCAGGCGACCGGCAAGGTGACGGACGCGCTGCAGCACTCGAAGACGCGCTTCCAGTGCGGCCGCGAGATCCGGAAGAGGAGCACGCTGTGGAGTCTGCGCATCCGCGTGCCTCCGCAGGCGCCCACCGTCATCCTGCCGGCGATCGGCGAGATCACCGACGACGTCATGCGTGACATGAAGATGACGGGCCGCAAGACGAAGATGTTCGTCCCGATGCAGAGGTGGGTGCGCTGACGAGTTTGTTATTATACACTGTTATAGCCAAATACGAAAGTATTTAAGACATGTTAGCGTTAATCTAGACAGTGGCTGTTTGTTATTATACACTGTTATAGCCAAATACGAAAGTTCTAAGACATGTTAGCGTTACTCTAGACAGTTGCTGTTACCGGAGCAATTACGGTTAGTGTTGTCGTAAAAGTGGGGAAAACACAAGACTGGTTGGAAATTATGTTCGAAATAAAGGCTTTAAGAATGAAGCACGAAGCAGATGTGCGTAATTTACACAAACGTTGGGCAAAAGCTATGGAGAAGTATGTGCAGCAGCAATGGGAAATTACTAAACTAATATATTTAAACTTGAATTGAATTGTCAGTGTCACGATGTGCATAAAGGTACGTGTAACTGTGGACCGCTATGACCACTATGAAAGCAGGTGTCTTGTATCCCTCAAAAGTGATAGTACTTTAGGAAATGTTTAATTGTATCCTATACAGGCCCGTAGCCAGCTTTATATTGGGGGGGGGTTCGTTTTTCAATGTTGGCAATTTGCTCGGCAGGGGCGTGTACAGGATTTGTACCAGGGGTGGGTCTAACCGTAACCCAAATTTGCGAGCACGCGAAGGCGTTAAAATTTTTAAAATTAGACCCCCTCAGATGCGTTTTCTGCGCGAGCAAGGGGGGGTCCGGACTCCCTGGACCCCCCCTGTACACGCCCCTGCTCGGGCGCGAAGCGACCAGGCGAGGGAGCCAAGCGATCGAGCGGGGGGAGGGTGTGGGAGGGGGGTGTTCACTGTTCACCCTCCCGGACGATGGAGATTTTGCAATTATTACACTAAAATGGAGCGACCTAAGGTGAAATTCTTTTTTTGCTTGGGGGGGCTTAGGGGGGGGGGTTTGTTCGAACCCCCCGAACCCCCCCCTGGCTACGGGCCTGTCCTATAATGGTAGATGGGGGCTGCACATTTTCATAAGCTAAGCAGACGTTGGTTTCTGCTTGGACAGTACGTGAGCACATTCAGCCCCGTGCAAAAAGCTTTTTTCGTTGTATGTATGTCTGCATCACTTTGCTCACAGCCTATCGCCGGTCCCGCTCAGGTCTAGCCAGAAGCGACGCCGTTCGGATATGGAGAAGCAACACGACAGAGCTCGCCAGTGCTACCTCAGGGCTACTACGCGGGTATGTACGAGAGGAGGCAACTGTCACCGATGTGTCGGTACAATCTCACAAGCAACTTTGTATCCCATAACCTCGCCTGGGAGTGAACTGTTCTGTTTGACTGAATGATCGATTTAAAATAATGAGCTTTAGTTTGATGTTTGCGTGTTTCTTTGAAGTGTATTGTTTTGAAGTTATTTTCGAATGTTTCAGCCCTTGCTTGTCACTGCGAAATTTGTTAAATGTTTCCCACATCTGCATGAGTACGATAGACTTGGAATGAATAGTAGACCTTTCCAGGTCGTTGTGTACTGTGGGTAATCCCAGATGGCAAAACCAACCTCTCGCTCTAGATGTCTATCATAGTGCACTGCTCTTCCAATGATTTCTATGTTTTCTATGGATATTCTGTATTTGTTTCAATATTCTACTCCCACTGAAATCTTGCTGCCTCTCTAGGACGTCGTGAAGAATCCGTTCAGTAGTAACCAGTCGTATGCGGGCTACAACGGGGATGATAGAGCGTGGGATTGCGACGATGAAACATCCTCCCAGGGCACCCTGGACAGTATCATTCCTCCACCGGACTCCTTCGATGGCACTAACAACCCATTTCTGTTCTATGACGATCATAAGCAGAAGGTGTGTATGAGAACAAAAAAGAGAGAGAAGGGGATGGGGAGATATATTGGATAAGTCTTTGGAATAAAGGTGCTGTACGTCCATTATTTATTGATGTAGATCGAGAATCAAACGAGGTGTAACCAGGGGAAAAATTACTTTTTTTTCACGGGAGCTCTTTTTCAAGTCTGTGGGAAAAATAGCTGTCGTCAAAAATTTTACGGGAGCTATTTTGAGCCTCACGGGAGCGATTTCGGAGATTTGAAGAGCGAATCGCTCATCGCTCCCGTGTATTTTTTTTTACCCTGGGTGTAACGTGCGTGGCGTGCATGTTGCAGTTGCGTTGCTACCGTGTTAAATACGGCAGATTATTTTACTCTGCGAATAAACAAAACTCACCGAAAAGTCTCTAATAACAGCTCGCTTGTGGTCATACTCGCAGAAAGTGAAACTCGTCAATCTCTCGGAGACGGGCGTCGGCAAGCGGCGCCGCGGCCGGCCGCCGAAGAACGCCGCGAGTAAGGCGCGCGCGTTCCTGCTGCCACCTCTCAACGGGTTCGTGCGTCTCCGGCCACCTATGCTGCCCCCGCCGGCCCCCTCCTCGTCGTCGCGCGGCGGTCGGCTGCTGACCGGACTCCAGGTGAAGCAGAGCGCGCTGGACCAACCGACGTCCATGCAGGCGCTCAAGTCGTCAGTCACGAACTACTTTGGCGCAACGCAGAGGATCGCCAACGGGGAGCGCTTCTCGATCCTCGGACGCCGGATCCTGCCGAGTGGACAAGTGCAGTACTTGCTCAACTGGGAGTAGGCGGTTGCCACGTCGGGGTGGCCCCCCTCCCCCGGGGGTGGGGCGGGGCGACGGCTGAGGGTGACATACGTGATGGAGTGGAAACGATTTTCGACCGCGAATGTCTTCCCGTCACTGATCTTTCCGTTGAGCCGACTAGCTTGCCTTGTTCGTGACTGTTCGCTGCTGATCGACCTTCTGTCACTCATGCTATGTCCTCTCCGGTTACATTCTGCCTTTTAGGTTGTTCGTGTGGGTGTAGGATATTGTCTGGATATTGTATATTTTTTCCCGAATTGAGTTGCATTAGTATACCAGTTTCCGGTTCGTCTGGTTTTATCCGGATCCTTATCATGTATCTATATATTATATTCATCATTTTTATACCAAGTGCGTCGTGTTTGTATTACTGATACAATTTATATGTTCGCTGTTATCAGATGTATTGTGTATTTTAAGAACACATGCTTACGTGGGATCATGTTTGGCAGTAAATGTTTACGAAGTTTCGATTAATCGTGTTCAGAACATTGATAACCGGCTCTTGTGTGACGTCTTATTATCTCGTTGTTATCGTCACGCTACTGTTACGTACCACTTCCCACACCCACAAACTCTCGCATCTAACTTCTATGTCTACTCGTTTCGACTTCTATGATCAAGTTACTTTTTTGTAAAGAACTTGATCTCGATTTGCGTTGAAAACACTTACAGCGTCATTGTTATGTAGGTTGTAGAGGGCGCAGGAGAGAGAGCGAGTGTGTGAAGGGGAGTGGTCAAGACGTTTATCGTTTATAGTATGTAGTGTATGATAGAGGATAGGTTATTCAACGTGAGAATTGTAGTTGCTTTCGTCGCTGGCTAGCAAGGGAGGATGGAAATTCATGTAAGAAACCGTTTATAGAAGCGGTTCTGTGAGAAAATTTTATACTACATTTTATAACAGAATTGCAGTTTATGCAAGAAATTATCTAGTTTTTCCCAAATAAAATATTGTTTTTTATGAAATATTACGGAGGTAAAAAAAATTTCACAAAAAAATGCAATGGACACATATTATATACTAGGCATTACAAAGGTGAGTTTATTTACAAAATTTAGGTTCTGCTATTAAATATAACTACATATCAATGATGCACACAAAAATTACAGGAAAACACGTTTTACATGTATTCTGTGGTAACACAAATATAAAAAAATATAGAACATACATGCAAAATATATTCACACAATCTGGCTACCAAATTAATTTTTGGAATTAAAATGGCTCCGAGGATGAGAGCGTCAGACATGATTATTTTCACGGAGTTAACAACCTCTTTGGCATAGACGAAGACAGCGTGTTGCATGTGTGTTTCTCTCACGGAAACAGTTTTTTTTTCACTGATCATCAAAAAATGATCAACAAAACACAATTTCAACGTATGTTCACTCGTCTGACTAGCAATTGCAACGCACACATCCGAATTTCCATGTACTACATGATACATATATAGCACGTTGCTATAAGAGTGAGACATGGGACACGTATGTTGAGTGAACGTCTCTTCTACAGAGCCTCGTGCCCAACGATTGTAAGAATTTCACGTGCGTGTTAGGCCCTGCGCAGTAGTAAGTCCTCGTGTGGCCGCTAGGTTCAACCCCATACCAAAATTAACTGAGCACTGCACCATGACCAACAGGCATGGTGAAAGATTGCTCCATTTACCGTGCCGACCTGTATCTGTCCACCACTATTCTGTTTTGCTGGTCTTTCGCCCATAACTTGATTGTCCTGCCTTCTTTCTCTCTCAGCAGTTGCCGCTCTTTCTCCTGGCCACACCCTGTACTTCCCTCGCCCCTCTTTCTCTCCTGTGCACGCTTTTTTACCTTGTCCATTCCCTGGCCTCATTCTTCTCTCTCTCACGCACAATATCTCTCTCGCTCTCGCTATTCTCCCTCCCTCCTGCCATCTCTCTCTGCATCTCTTTCCCTCAACCTCTGCCTACCCCAATCTCTCTGCATCTCCTTCCCTCAACCTCTGCCTACCCCAATCTCTCTGCATCTCCTTCCCTCAACCTCTGCCTACCCCATCTCTCTGCATCTCCTTCCCTCAACCTCTGCCTACCCCACTCTCTCTGCATCTCCTTCCCTCAACCTCTGCCTACCCCACTCTCTGCATCTCTTTCCCTCAACCTATGCCTACCCCACTCTCTCTGCATCTCCTTCCCCCAACCTCTGCCTCCCCCTCTCTCTCTGCATCTCTTTTCCTCCCCTCCCTCCACCTCTTCCTCTCCCCTCTCTCCACCTCTTCCTCCCCTCCCTCCACCTCTCTCCCGACCCCCATCTCTCAATCTTTCCTCCCGCCGCTTCGCTCATCGAGGCACGTTCTGCAGCGGCTGCTGAGATTCCTCGGGCTCGTTGAAGCTCTCCATGTACGCGTCCGGCGACACACTGATCGTGTGCAGCAGCTCCTTTTGCGACAGCGTCAGCTCGTAGTACGGCTTCTTGTAGAAGTACGTCGAGCGGCGGTTGTTGCTCAGGTTCTGCTGGCCGACTTCGCCGAAGCCGAGGAACGAGATGACGTGCAGGAACTGCAGCGCGAGCGTGACGGGGAAGCGGTTGCCCGACTGCCGCATGTCCGTCTCCTCCTTGGTGAGCGACGGCATGAGGTGGCGCTGCGACATGACGCTCGGCGTCAGCTTGCCGCGGTACTCGAGCAGCCGCTTCATCTGGCGGCCGCACGTCGTCACGAACAGGTGCATCGCGTCCGGCGCGTTCTGCTCCATCGCCGACTGCACCTGCGAAAAGCTGATCTCGCCGCCGTCGGCCGGCGCCAGCGGGAGGTCCGGCGACGGGCAGTAGCTGCCCTGCGGCGACACGCGCGCGCTGTGGCTCTCCGTCTTCACCGACACGACCTGGATCGCGAGCGCCGCCTCGTCGCCGTCCGACACCTCGGGCGTCGACAGCGGCGACGGCGTCCGATGATTCGCCGGGCCGCCGTCGCGCGTCGTCGGCGTGCCGTTCACCGGCGCCCTCTGGTGCACGGTGAGCGCCTCGCCCGGCCAGCCCACGGGCAGCCCCGCGAGCTCGCGCTGACCCTGCACCTGGATCGGCGACGGGAACACCGCGGGGCCGTTGACGAAGCTGACGCCGATCGCCTGCGCGGCGCGCATCTCGCCGCAGTTGCGCGCGAACGGGCTCAGCTCAGGCGGGTGCGCCGCCGTCGCCGCCGCCGCGTCGGGGAACATGCGCGGCACCTCGACGGGCGCCTGCGACATCTGCAGCACGAACTTGGTGCAGATGCAGTGGTTGAGCACGCTGGAGGCGCTCTCGACATCGGCCGGCGTCACGTCGAGGCTCCACGCGACGACCTCGGGGTCGGCGCGCGCCGTGACGACGTGCAGCGCCTGCCGGACGGCCGAGAAGACGCAGGCGAGGCGTGCAAGCAGGCCGGGCGCCTTGGCAAGCACGCGCTGCTGCATCGCGTCCGCGCACGAGCCCTTCCAGTCGACGAAGCGGTTGTAGTGGCTGATGAACGCCTCACTGGCCGACGGCGGCAGCCTGGAAGGAGAAACCCACAGCGCCACCAGATTATGATCGATTTCATTGTTTAAGAACATTTTTCGTACGATTTTTTTAAAGTTTTTAATTTTTTAAACATTTTTCTTCTTTCGAGTCGCATGCCGATTTACGAGTGATGTAATGTAATTAATATTAATAACGTGTTGTGTTACAACCGAGATACAAGCAATTCTAAACTATCGTCATGTTTTACTGCAATTTATGTGTGCGCCACTGAGCTGTAGATTTAATTCGCTCAAAAGCAGTCGTGCTAATGGCCTTTTTTTACTGCAGACGGGAGTAATGTAATATCAGGTAAAATTTTATGTAAAGTCCTGCAGCAGGGCAGCTCATAATGCAACGTCTCGCTCTGACTGACGCCACAAACGCAAACCCTCACTCACAGATTTACGAATCAACGAGGGCGTGGGAACGAATCGGCGAGGGGAACCGAAATGACTAACCCGCGAGGAATCGCAGACCGCGCGCGTGCGCGCCCTACAATCGCACCTGTACACGGTCCTCGACTGCGCCGTCTGGTTGTGCATGTTCTGCATGACGCCGAACAGGTCCTGCAGCGACGGCGTGTTGCCCGGCATTGGCACTCTCAGGTTTGCATAGTGGTAGGCGACCTGCTCGGGGCAGCTGAGCAGCAGCCGGTCGAAGAGCGGGTCGGCGAGGCTGAGCGACGCGTCGGCGACGTCGGTCGCGCGGCCGACGTGCACGAAGCCGCCGACGGACAGCCGCGACTTCAGCAGCGGGTTGTCGTGGAGATTCTTCAGCTGGTGCACGCTGAACGCCTTGTGCTCGGTGGTGGCGAGCAGCTCGCGCAGCACCTCGTAGACGTCCTCGAAGAGGCCCAGCGAGAAGTTGGACGCAGTGCGGTAGACGACCTCCAGCTCGTCCGGCAGCAGGAAGTCGCGCACGTTGAAGCTGGCGCTCGTGCGCTGCGCGTCGGCGAGACGCTCGGCGATGCGGTTCAGCACGCTCGTCTTGCGCGTGCCGTGCGCGGCGACGATCGCCGTCCACAGCACGACCGGCTCCAGCCAGTCGGAGTTCACCTGCACGAACGTGTTGCCCATGACGCCCGCGAACGAGCTGAGCAGCGGAAAGAAGAGGAACTCGGGTGGCACGCCGACGGCCTGCGCGTGCGACTGCAGCAGCTTGTTCATGTTGCCGTCGCAGATACTCGACAGGTTCAGCCTGTGGGACGTCGCCGCGGCGATGCGTCCCCGCGAACCGAAGTCATCCACCGATCGTCGTCGCTTCATCTCTGCAGCTGCGAAAATGGAAATTTTTGCTGATCCTCGCTTATTTATCGTGTGGCACAGAGCGATGAGGAGAGGAGTAGGAATGGCACTTTGAGTGCATGCAGTATAGTCCCATCGGCTCTGTGCCTATACACTTTTCGACACAGAAGAATATTTATCGGAGTTTATAATTTAGTATGATACTTTACAGGTATTCTTCAGTTATGTTAAGAATGACCACAATTCAAAACTCAACAAGTGTAAAATAAATCTCATATGTGCCATAAATGCATAGATCTGCACATTTCACTTAATCAATCATAATTTTACGCTATCATAAAAATATTGTTACTCCCCATTATAACCTTATTCAACTAAATTGAGCCACAACAGCGTTAGTTTACTTTATTTCGTTGCCCAGAGGTAAACCACTTATATTTTTGTTGAAAAAATAGTAAGACCATTTTTGTTTGTGCAAGTATATATACTTCCCTTTACTATAATCAGGAGTAAATAGTCTCAAAAATATCTTTGCTCCAGTTATAATTATAATAATTTACAAAAACTAATATTATGTAATCATTATTATTATGTGATACCATGTGATATGACGTCCATGTTATGTGATACTATCAGAAGTAGATAATAGGGAATTATCTACTCCTGATACTATCCTGATACTATGTAATATTGTGATGTGACACTCTGTGAGTAAATTGTGTGCTGCTATATTTACATTCGCATAAACATATTTATCATCAGCTGAGAACAAATTCTGGGCTACGAGTACGAGTACGAAGACCAACAAGCATTTATGACCAACAATTTATAACCAGCAATTTTGTAACGTACCGCGTGTAACACCCCTGTGCTTGTTAAAAGAGCACGCGTGCGCCACGTATTACGTGCGCTTGCAAAGCACGACATGTCATATGCGATCAAATTTAGCACATGAAAACCCGTTCTACTGGTCATTCGTTGGTCATTGCCCACGCAAAGTTACGTAATCCGATAGATGGTCACACTACGTCCCACAGGTACGCTTCAAATTTTTGGCCCATTATATTATTACATTAGCACAACGCTAGTCTTTCTCTCGTACTCGCACGGACTTGCTACGCGCCTGCCACCGCTAGACCATAGTCAGTACTGTGAGTATAAGACAATCGACAAAAGATTATACTTTTCACCCCCGCGCCGATAAACGGACTCAGCTGTGGAAAACCGTGATCATTTGTCAGCTCAACATTCTAGTGGCTGACTGTCTTAAACGGCTGCCTCCAATTGGCGAAGACAAGCCGTAACCGTAAAACAAGACAAACGATTAAATTTTTCCATCGTAAGAAATCAAGCTTATACTAAATTGCTCGATTAATGTATTCGAAATCGCTATTAGACACTAAATCAATCTTTCAAAATGGCTACCGGGTGTGCCTTGCAGCGGATGCAGTAGATTCTACTCAACAAATCCCACCTCGGTGGTGAGAAATTATGCAAACTAACTCCACGTGCTACATGAAAAAATGCAGCCTAACAAATATACATATAATTCCCTTCCTCAATTGCGAATAAGTCTCACCGATTTACCTCGTATGGTTCATGCAGATCACGAGGAAAAAATAGAGCAAATCATGTCCTCTCTTCTTTGTCCCTTTTTCGAGTCGACGTTGATTATATTCTATCGAGGTTGTGTATAGCGAGTGCATTGGGCGCAACCAATGAGAATAGATGGAGGGGGCAACGGAGCATGACTCATCCCAGTCCATTGTAAAATATAGGCACGGTCGGAGAACATCTGTGTACGCATAGCGAGAAGATTTGATAGCCGGGGCATAATCATTCTTGTTCTGACTGTCGTGCCGCTATATAATACACAATAACACATAATTATATACATTGTATAAGCATACGCGTACTCTCTCTCGCGCTATCTTTCTAAACCTCGGTCTCTTTCTTGCTAAACGTATGCGAATTCTCGCATGGACGCGAGCCCACCAACCCGACCCACCCGCACATTCGTCAGTCCACATGTACACACACGCACTTACGCCCGCACTCACGCACTCCCGCTCTCACGCACACCCACGCATGCACTCACGCTTATACGCGCGCACACATCAATTTCACTGGTGATTAATACCCTGATACGATATACAGGCTGTGAAGAATCATACAATGGACTCGTATATCGATTTCTATAGCGTTATATTGTGGCCGAATGTAATTGCATATTTTCGAAGGAGATATTTCTGTAATGAGCAATTATGTTTTTATGTGCACGTATTCGCAGCGTCTAAGGATTAGCTATATTGCGATGCAAGAGTTAGCGCAAGGAGTGAAATATAGATATTCGAGTAATAGTTTTGTGGTGGGACAATCGAAAACGTAGAAACCCTATTCGGGGAACCTAGAACAACGTACCTCTATAATTGATGTAGATCGCATCTATCCCTGTCCAAATATGTGGGTGGTGCTGCTGGTGCACGAAGTATATCTAATCTATATTTCAGTTCGTATGTATGTATGTATGTATGTATGTATGTCCCGTATGCCCGGCCAAACCGCCCAAGCGATCTGGATGCAATTTTCAGAGGGCGATTTCCTATACCCGGGGAGTGTTCCTAGACGAAAAAAATAAAATAAAAGTTGAAAAGTTAAAAATTGATAACAATTTAATAGATGGCGGTGCGTACAGATTAACATGACGTACGTGTGAATCCGTGGTGTATACCCCTAACGGCGCAGTGGCCTAATCGCTAGAACATCCGTTTCCTACACCGTTAATTTCAAAATTTAAATTTTTTTACTACATTTAAACGTTTAGTAAAAATCCAGAATAAATTATGATAGATGATAATAATAGCGCAAACTGACGGGAACACTTCACGGAAGCCTATGTAGGTTACAGATCAAATATTATATTTTTCATATTATTTTACTTTATTATTTTAACTTTTTTATTTTTTATATTTTTTAATGTTTTTATCTTTTGATTTCTTATTTTTTTATTATAATTTTTTTATTATTATTTGATTATTTTTTACAGTTTCGAATGGGATGGGATGGCATGGGATGGCATGGGATGGCATATGGCATGCGATGGCATGGGATGGGATGGCATCAGGGGCGTGTACATGATTTGTACCAGGGGGGGTGGGGTCTAACCGTAACCCAAACTTGCAAGCACGCGAAGGGGGGTCTGGGGATGGAAGAGACTGGTCCCAAATTTTTTTTGAAATTAGATCTTCTTAGATGCGTTTTCTGCGCGAGCAGGTGGGGGGGTCCGAACCTCCTAGACCCCCCCCCCGTACACGCCCCTGGGGATGGCATGGCATGGGATGGCATGGGTTGTGATATGGGATGGGATGGGATGGGATGGGATGGTGTGGAAAGGGATGGATGGATGGATGCATGGATAGATAGATAGTTAGATTTTTGCGGTATTTTCCTTTCAACCAAGCCGTCACCAACTGAGTAACGCCACTGATTTCCCCGGACAACGCCGGGTATCTCGCTAGTAAATACTAATGCATATAATACAGGTGCGCCGGAAGCAGTTTTGGATTTGGGGGGGGGGCAAAGACCTAAAGGGGCTCACGATTTTTTTTTATTTTTATATTATAATAACTTCGTATATTCTTTCGTCCCACCGCTATATAGTATACGCATTGATATCGATTGTGTGCTCCTGTTATAGCGGGTTCAATAAGAAACCGCTATCTAAACCGCTATGAAACCGCTAAGAAACCGCTAAGAAACCGCTAAGAAACCGCTATCAAAGAAAGTCTGTTGGTCATATGCCATGCATGGACTCTGCGTTTTATGAATATTTACAAATTATATTATTCTCGATTATATAAAAACATCTGTAAAGAATCAATGTAATTTTTCAGTGTGTCAAAGTAATATTCAATTACAAATACAAATGCTAGAAACACAAGTTTAGATCACGAAATAGCACTAACAAATGTCAAATCACAATACAACTGGGGTTTTGTTCACTCATGAACACACTCGTCTGAGTCACGCAGTTCGAGTTACAGCAAAGGTTACAGCCATAATATTATAGCCAAAGAGCGAACGAATACTTGCATTTGGCGCCGAGAGGTGCCGCGAGTGCTCACGACAATATTGTCAACACAGGAGCAGCGGTCATGCCAACAAGATGAATAGTTTCAACTTTAAGAAGTTTACTTCTGACGCTGCAACAGTAATCAGCCGAGCCGTCCAGGTAAGTGTACTTAGATACATTAATTAAGACAGCATATCTATAGAGTAAGTTTATCTTTTGTATGTTGATGCCACGTCTGCAGAATGTAATTACTTAGCTCTTGGCTGCGCGCGTCACATTCCGTCGTTCCGACGTTCGGTTCGTAGGCTAGGCCCCACAGCGCAGAGTAGCGTTTACACCCCCATATCGTGACTTTGGTTAATGGGGGGGGGGTACACTCTTAAAAATGTACAGAGGTCTTCTTGAGGGTGTTGTCAACTCATTTCTTGCAAGAAAGAGCCTAGAGGTCATTTGTTGTCGCGAAGGCGCGACAATACGTCGTTTCACCCAGCGACCTCACCTTGTTTTGACGATTTCTCACTATTTCACGGCTCGCGTATTTCACGAGATTTCAGTTACCATTCATGTCCTGCGGCCGTCACATTTCTCCCCCACTTTGCCCGGGCCATTTACGCAGTGATATAACTTCGTCTCCGCTGTCAATAACCTGAACATATAATTGACGGTGTTATAACTGAGATATAATTGTCGGCAATAATAGGTGAAAGAGAGTATAGAAACATTAAGACTTTGGTAGTAAATTGATTTCGTATTTATTTAACATTATATTTTATTGAAACGCTTCAAGTGCCTGTGCCTACATCGTTGGTGGCGATGTGCACATTGCAATGACCCTTGTGTTGTGTTTGGGTTTAGTTAAACATTAACAGCTAAGCAAGTATAGTAGCAATCCCTGCGAGATTAGTATTACAATTACTAGTGCAACTGCAAGAAAGGATCTTGGTAATATATCACGAAACTGACAAATCATGACCGAGTTCCAAAACATGGTACCCTACTGACCACTCCAAGCACTGACACAACTGGTCTACTACTGCTGTCATTACAATATCACATTATCAGTGGACTTAAAGGTGACTTACTCCCCGTGCAAATAATGCAAATAAATTGTAATAAATATCAATAAAATATAGATAAACATTAACTGAAATAGAAATAAAATGAAATAAAACAGAAATTTTATTGGAGGCAATAGCGGACGCGAGCGGACAACACAGACACGCGCACGCGTGCACACACGAAAACACACGTATGGTTGGTACATTGCACGAGTTTTGAGCGAGCTTTGAGTGAGTTTTGAGCGAGATTTTTAGGTGGAAATGAATGAAAAACAGAATATACACTGCGAGATCGCGGCCGGTTAAAATAGAAATTTCCGGATAACGGATGGCCGGATAAAGGAGGTCGGACTGTAGTTTGTAGTTAAACAAGTTGTCATGTGGCTGATCATGTATTAATTTGATTATCATTTAATCACAACTTATAATTCATGTAATTGTTGACAGTTTGACACCTGAGGCATGTGTAGCCTTGAGTGAAAATTCCATTTTGTTTTTCTTTTAAGTACCGTGTTGAGAATACTGTAATTGTTAGATAGTCGTACATTGTAATTTCTGCATAATAAGTGGGAGATTATTAACAGCAATTGATTAATGTAAAAACCGCTCTAGTTTATGAGCATGCAGGGTGCGAAATTAACGCCAGTCCCGAGTCAAATACTCCATGATTTACTGTCGGACTCCCTGATTTGACATCTGCAGGAGTCCGTGTGACTCTTTGAAAATTCTGCTATAATATACTAAACCAAGATTTCTTGTTAGTTTAATTTTAATATTAAATCTTCAAAATAAGCACATGGAATATTGTTAATTTTATCTTTTAGTTTAGAACTTCAGACTGCGGACTCCCTCTTTTTGAGGGTAGGGAGTGTTCAAAGGTTAATTTCTACCCCTGAGCATGTGTTAATTCACAGTGAAATCCAACGATTTCACTATCAGAAATGTCGCAGCACTCGCGCGATCAGTAGCAGGAGCAGTAGCAATAGCACTAACAGCATCAGTATCAGTAACAATAGCAGTAGCAGTTAATTGCAAGTTAACTTTAACATTGGCATGAAATCTGTCATTGATATTATACTAAATATTTCTTTTACTAATCTATTAGTCTACAAACACAATAATGTGTACCATTACTTGTTATATCAACAGATGCGTAATGCCTAGATCAGGTTGTCAGGGCAAATAAAGCCAAGTCACACATTCTCCACAAACCTGAATAGCGTTCTACTAGTAGTAGTAGAATATATCATATCCGGATATAAAAAGGGTATTCTTGTTATATTAATGTTTTAACAAGATGTATGTTACCGTACATTGTGTATGTAAGGTTTGACAGAATAAATGAGCATGGTGTGTATATTGTGTGTACAATATGTGCAGTGTGCACTGTATCTGTATGCGCTTTCGTATAGTTTGGCCAGACTGCATGGGTACATGCAATATGACGCGACGACAGTCGCTGTTTGATCAAAACTTAATCAAACATGTCAATAATATATTATTAATGTTTTGTCTCCATGTTTGTTTAAACATCTCGTTTTCACAGTTTGTAAACTTGAGCGAGAGCGTATTCCGTGATGTGTTTCCAGGCGTGTGCGATGGTTGTGCTAGATCAATATGTAATATATACACATATGTATATCTGCTCGGTAGTATTAATAACTTTAGATGAAATGAAATATAGTGCACGCAGTCCCGTGCAATTTCTCTCAGAATTTTCCGTTGAGTGTGGAAGTGTCTCATTAAGTGATACGAGTGAGTCATTAACATCATTTGGTGAATCATCGCATTGTATTATGTTGCTTCATTAGCTAGTTTGCTCGGTATGAAACTCATGCCGCCTTGTAAAATTTTAATGGCATTCATTACAACTGATAATTTTATAATCATAATGGGAACTATAAATTGACGCTATTGGATGGGAAAATCTGAGTAGGCTAGTTGTTGTTGAGGATGTTTAGAAACGGAGAGCGAGGCAGCTTTGCGACAAAATGAGCTGCTGCTTCGTACGTATTATGTGAAATCTAGCAGCACTTTTGTTCGTCGGTTGTTGGTCTTGAAAAAGCTCACCTGCTCAGTTTACGTGTGTGCGATCTTGGAAATTATTGAACAGTGTTGTAAGAATGAGAATCTCCAGGCCACAGATATAGAGAGAATAAAATGCAAAAATGTAACAAACATATGTAAAAAAAATATAATAAACATAATTAATGGTAGGTAAAGGGGGCATAGCCTTTCCCCATTTTATCTACTCCCGATACAATGTAATGATACAATGAGCATTAAGCGTGCACACTGCACAGTCCACCAAGAACAGAGCATCAGTGGCCGAAGTGTCCTTAAAAACTTAACTCTGATTTAAAACTCCTCCCCCTCAAGGGGTCATTACTAAAACTACTTCCCCTCTTCATACGTACACATACACGCGTCAAACAAAAGTTACACGCTATCCTCAGGATGTTCTGTTGCCTTCTACTTCGTTTCTGTTTGTATCGGAGTGGAGTGGGCGCTCGTGCTCCGACTGACTGATGACAACTGCCCGGGGGTTCAGTGTGCTGTTGCATAGAAAGATCGGCTTGCTCATACACGATTCCATGAAAGCGAGCATCAGTCCCCCCCTCCGCCGACTCCAACCAATTGATTTCGTGTAGAATCGTTGAATAAGAGTGAGCTTAGGTTGCTGCCGTCATTGCTTCCGTTCACTCGCCCACGCGCGCACTCACCCACGCACGCACCCACGCATGCACCCATGCACGCA